AAGTCAAAACATTCACCAAATACTTGAAACTCAGCCGACCATGTCTCTAAATCCAATTTTTCTATAACAACTCGTCGTCCTATGAAAAATGGTTCGGATTGGAAACCACAAAGAGCCTCTTCCATAACGGCAATAACCAATCCCTGCAGATCATTGGCTTTGGCTGTGTAAAACATCGAGAACTGTTCCTCGACATATTCCAGATCAGTCATATAGCCATATGTGGCAGTGACGGCTTGAGCCAAGGCTGACGCCAAATCTGGACCCCATGAATGAACCTGCACATCAGCTGGATGTTCAAGATAACGGTATCCTGAGACTCCGTCACTGGTTCCTTCCATCATATTTATTGTTGCGCCCTCCTCAATTACCATGTCTTCATAGTCGTTTTCAGATTTCCTAGCTCTCTTCTTCAATGGATGGAAAATTGGAGACGACGATTCAGAATTCGGTTCAGTTCGAGCTCCGTTTACCTCCATGTATCAGAAAAAATCTGAAAGAAATGCTATCAAGATACCTATTTAAAAATACGAAAAGAAAGCTGTCAGCGACGGAGGAGAATATTCACGAATCGGCGTTTACTCATGTATGGACACAGCCCTACTTTGACAGCCACATATCGAGTCTCACTTTGCAGGCATTATCATATTTAGCTCAACAGGGAGCACAGTTTAGTTTGAAGGAAATTTTCGAAAACCTTTCTCGTAGTCAGGATGTGACATAATTATACCGTAACAATATAAAAGAGCACTAAATAGTGTCGGAAATGTATGGAGCCTTATAAAGTTCACAAGTTTTCAACCTCAACTGATAAGCCGACTCAGGAAAAGTGGGGCACTACAAAGATGAAGTCATAGCGGATTAAAATACAAAAGCGAACGTGATTGACCATTTTTGTGACCAGCACGGAATCTGAGTGAAAATATCTATTTGGCATATTGCGTACATAACTCCGTATAATTTTAGTTGTGATAGATCGACCCCAAAAAAGCATGGACTTCATCAATTTAACAAATTCCTAAACTGTGCAGAATTCCAGTAAAGAATACACTCAAATTCACAACAAGGGACAGGTACCAGAAGTAACTCCCAAATTGCACAGATGAATACTTCAAATCGGGAGTTAAGGAAAAAAAAGAAGACGTATATTCTAGAAAAATACCACCCTTTTGCACTCAAGTGCTAAAAGTTGGGTTTATTAAAGGACGCCGGCCGGTACAGTGTGTGAAACGCCGATAGAGCGCGTTAGCGCAACCTCGTTTACATTCATGTTTACCCTACATAAATTGGACAGCTAATGTTTCCTCAATCTACTTTTTACAATGGCCCTGTGCTTCTTATCCGTTCAACATACCTCTTTTACCTTGTTTTTTAAACTAGATTTGATAGATAGTTCGTAATGATGAAAACAATTTAAAATTTTAGACTGTTTTCGATGATCCTCCTTGTGATTCATGGTGAGATTGAACGTATTCGAGCGCGTTTTCCTCTATTTCGAAATGTGAAAAGGCATTCAACACAACATAAATCAGGGACTTGCTAAATGCAGGTTGACGGCCGACTCCGGCGCCGGCGTCGATAGTATGAACGCACCTTAAGATGACATTAGCATAACACCCTGGTTCTCCGGATATAGTCCTGCCATGCTCGTCTAGCAGCATACAAAGAACATCTAATAGATTATCAACGACTAATCCATAAATGAAGTCTAGCAAATATTTTTTTTGGAACTTTTCGGTGTTAGTCACTTAACGGTGAAGCAGCTAACCACCACCAATGAACTGAACTCAATAAAACGTTTTGGACAAATACCACTACAAGGTCTGCACAATACATAGATTTAGAACTTTTATTGCAAAATAACTTTGGATTATCAAATTCCGCGAAAAACGAATACTTGACGGAGATTCCTCACTTGAAGAGTCTGAAGAATCCTTGCAAGCAAGCTGCTCTTCTACCCGGCGACTTCTCTCTTGAGAACATCTGAAGAAAATAGAAGCTACCGTAAGTAGTGTGAGTTGAAAAGATGTAGTAAACAATACTCTTTGGTAACCTTATGTAGTAGCAGTACACCGTTGGGCTTATACATGAAAATCGTTCTTATTATAATTTGAAACCCCGAAATGGGACAATGTATGTCAGGTGCCTTCTTGGGATCGTATCCTGAGACTTTGGCTAGCGACCTGGGATCAGAATGGTTCATACGGAGGCAGCTCCAATGGAATACAAAATTAATACTGTCAAAATGCAAGGGACCAAGAATTAAAGAAACATTTACCGGTGACGATGACAACGTGCCACTTTGCTGGGCTTTTTTTTATCGCAATGGCTGCTACCACACGTCCACAACTTCCACGCAGCACCCAGTGCAGAGAAGGTTCGTTGAGGGGTCGTAATGATGGTCTCTAAAGAGAAACAATAATCTATCACACTGCCGTTTACTCTTTTGAAAATGGATGAATCAGTGGTCTACAGAATGTTCAATTCCTCCCCACCCCAGCCTTTTGCACGAGGCGTCTCGCTCAACCTGAGGGTCATCCCCTTTTAGAGCGTAGTCAATAAGCTTCATTTCCCTAGCTAAAAATCTTTCTAAGCACCGTTACAGGCCCGCAAAGTCAACTACCTCTCCTTCTTTGAGATCTAGCTCCCAGTGTTAGGGATGAGAGCTGTTCCCCCAATCTCAACTACCTTGTTACCCTATATACCTCAGTTCATGTATTACAGCTGCACACAATAGAGTCATCCCAAACAGATCCACCTACACGGAAATTCCGGAGTAAACAAACATGTGAACAAAAGTGGTGCAAAAATCTCTGGTCTTTGAGCAATCGATGAGTCATTTACGCAAAGATCAATCGGTTTTCAATGCGATTGCGTCACAATTGTTTGATAAGAGCCCACGGTTTCATCCCTAAATAAATAGCCTCGTGTCCAAAGACAGCAGTCGACTTCGACGTCTTCACACAGTCATGCCGTTTCAAGGAAATCAGGTAACTTTAAAATTTTCAAGTATTTTTTTATAGCAACATGAATAATACGAATCTCTTGACTTCTTTTTTTTCTGATTTTAACTTTTTTCATTTTTTAAAAATCTGTTTCTGGTCCCGAATGATTTCGATTTCAGTATGGCGGATATCAAGCTTATCCCCATAGACCGCCAATGAATCCACCAATTCACGGACGACCAGTTATTCACGGACCACCGGTGAGGTCCTCATCTGATTCCGATTTTGTCTATTTAATCTACCCGTACACTAAAAGTCATTATATTAAGTAAATATTGTCCCTACATAAGAAATACAAGCCAACACTTGAAGTGGATCGATAACGGAATTCGTAGGTCACTGTCGCGCGCGGATGCGAAGCGGTTGTGCTAAATTAGATCATTTCGTAACAGACGCAGAGAAGCAACGTATCTCTTCATTCTTTTTCTAAACTATTCGCACGGCCTCCACAAGCTAATCGATCAATCATTCGGTTGCTAGCCAATTTGCTACATATTTCTGGGGGCTTTCAAAGATATGTCTGAGAGTCTACAATTATCACACTATCATTATCAGGTTACTTATGCTTACTACTGTAAGGGAATGAATTCCCTATGAAAAAACCTCTTACCTAGCTGTTTAACGATGTGTTGTAAATAGCACGCGTGGGACGCGCGCGGGTGCGTCACGTCTTCCTCATAATGTAGTTGTTTCAGGTAGTCGTCATAGATAATCATCATCATGGACACCACCACCATCACCACCATGGTTTGTTCCATGATCTATTTCATCATCACCATCATGGCCATCACCACGGTCACCATCATCATCACCACCATCACTGTTAAGATGCTGAAACGGACAATTTCGATGGGAAACGTCCTGAAAATGGGCAGGCACGGATTGATTCCAGCAGTAACCATGTGTCGAATAACACCCAATGTTAATATTATTCGTTATACAATGCAATAAACACGAATAAAGATCAGATCCTGAACTCGTAACAATTTGAACGGCCCAGTAGTTAAAATGAATAAAAATTGTAATAGCAGATACGATGGGAGTATTAAGAAGTTATCCGCAGTTCAAGGAGAATTTCAACCTTTCAGCCAGAATGAAAGATAAAGCGTTTAAGCGTTAATCGTTCCCGTCTAAGGGATGCGCCTCGCACTCGACTTCCATTCAGAATCGTAGTGGCCTATTGAATGCGTATGTGGCCTATACAATGACTCGCGGTGGCCAGCCGAAGTACAAGTCAGTGCTTTCATCCTCTCAGACGAGTCCGGTACCAATTAACCAACCCCGGAGGGGTGGTAGGTTTGGTTGGCTGGGTGGATATCGATCCGAGATTCGATCCATGGCCAAGTGTTGAGATAAGGCGCCACACACCACCTCCGCTGAAGGGACCATGCGTTGGATTCCCATCCACATTCGCAATGCCAAGGGGATATCAGCAAGACGACTCTGACGTGATGTGGAACTGAACTGCCCTAGGCCAAATTTGAACACGAATTGAGATAAGGCACTTGAAGGTGGTTGGTGCTGCATCTGTCAGTGCTCCAGATTTACATACTACTTCTCCCTCTTCCATATCCCTCTTAATACTGGTGGAATTTCCCAAGTTCTGTGAGCCGATACAGTATTTTTTTGGTGCCAGGAAAGCGCACGATTTCCTTTTTATAGAAACTAAAATAAAAAGCTCTTCATCGTAATTTTCTGTCCTTGTCTGTCACGGATATGTATCCATCATTTAACATCATATGGGGTTAGCATGTTTCGGTCGGGTAGAAACTGCTTGCAGGCGACAGATTATTGGGAAGCTCATTCATTCATCTATGAAATGCCGGGGAGGGAGTAGTAACCCTTCCATTCAACTCAGCTAACCTTTGCGCTCGAAGAACACCGGTTCCGGATACTGTAAGCAAACTACGAAATCATGCCATTTTGGTGTTCCCACAGAGAAACGGCGACATTTTATGCCCCCATAAACTGACTCTTCAAAGTTCCTTTTCCAAATATGATCGTTGGTTCTACGATCACTGCTTATCCACCAGTTACACAGCTCAATTTCATGTTCATGAAAATAGGATCAATCGATCGATATCAATCGATATTCGCAATGAATTTCTGTTTTTGTACTTTTCAGAGTGACGAACAATGCCAAGGAACCCACCTTCTTCTAGTACTTTGATTAGCCGCAAAAATCAATAAAATCGATTACCATCATAGACTGGTGCTCATCAGTTTTAGCTATCGACAGCACCATGCTCCTAATGGGGTTAGCTATAGCGATGTGCCAAAAACATTTTCATCGACTGCGCTCTCAAAGAAAACACCAAGATATTGAATAAGTATCGATTAAACTTGGTTTGTACTCGATTACATCGGCGTGACACACACTATTTATTCATGAGATATTATTACTAAATAAAATCGATATATCGATTTATCTCTTGAGCGTGAGCAGAGCAATGGCAATACTGCAGGAGATCACATGGCCAAAAGCTGACTGCAGATGAACAGCTAATGCAAACTGAGGTGATGCCGAAGTGGTAGTGTGCAGACCGCATCGTAACACCGCAGCGACACAGTCCTAATAATCATTTCTTTTATTTGAGCAATCAATAATCGATTGGATTGACCAACCTTTATGTTACGGTACGGTATCGTGACGGTACAAAGCGTCACCGCATAGGATTCTCGTAATCGTGCAAGACGATCATCAACCGAACGTTGGTTCTCTTGCAGAATTTCGCGTAGCAACCTTAGCAGATGTGATGGGTCCTGATGGGAAACAATGGATACGGTAGTGAAGCCTACCTGGACGCCATGAGATTCCACTGTGGAATACCGTATTGTCGAGCTTCATCAAAACGTAGTTTAATCTCACGTTCGATCGAGGACCTAAGCTCAATGAGGGCATCTTCCGACACCTGAACGATGGTTTTAAAGTTGGGCCTGGTACAGGAAGAAGAGGCTGAACGAACCTGGGAGTAGGGAATGGATGGTGACTGTATAGTTTGGATCTCATCCATTTCTCTGTCAAACAACGGCCTCCAATCACTAGATTTCTAAATCAGCCATTCACTATTAAAGTATTGGAAAAGATAGATATTGATCGGTAGAGCTATGGTATGGAAAGACCGAGAGTGTAAACAGGAAAGAATTATTCGGTATAGGCATATGGGAGCGGGTAGGGGCTTGATGCGGAGTTAGTAAAGCCTACATATCGATTGAAAAATGGAATACGGTAGTGGGCGTGGCCATCAGTATGTATCTCGGATACAGTAAGCCAGCTCTGACTAAAGTTATAAACAAACAAGCATCACTAAAGCATTTGTCTGTAACTGAGGCTGAAGGCCATTGCTCTGGAATTAGCCACGCCGTTCTCAAGCTCAATAAACCCACACGTTGATTACAAGACTGTTATTGATTGGCAGTAAGATGAATTGCAATCGATAGTAATCGATACAAGTAAAAACAAAAACTAACACTGAGATCAAACTGCAGTTGACTGGGATGAGCACTGGATTGAATATTTCCGTAGAGATTTTTCGGCGTGATAATTGTACCAACAGAAGTCAATGGACACATAGCATCCGTTGATGAATAAATAGATCCTACAATGGAAAATATGCATATTGATCGAAATGACAAGTGCAAGAATTCCCTTACCATCGCATGGATTTACAAAATATATACCATCCGACAAATTTACAAAAACATATGCAGCTTGTGCTCCTTCGGGTAATGCGAAGCCTGAAGTGAAGCAATGGAAAAGATGGTCATTGATCCGAATTCATAGCAAATTTATACCGAGCACTAAGCAGCAAGGTATTCCAAACGAAAGCAGCCAACAGCAGAGTAACGTCGCATGTTCTTCTTCATCACCACAACCAAGCGATAGAAACTGGAATAGCCACTGAGAACAGGCCATAGCAAAACAGAAAAATAAATGAACAAACAAAAATAAAATGNGCCGAGTAAACAGCGACTCTCGAACATTCTACTAATCTTCTGCCAAGGGAGTGACCCCCCATCGCTATCATAGGGCCGGAAAGCTAGGCATTTCGGCTGACCGAAACCAAAAACGAGAGCACGGCGCATAGCAATGAAGGAATTAAATTTGAGGAGCTCCATCGAATTAGGCATAATTCAACAAAGTTAGCAAAAGCACTATATACATGCAGGCCTCAAGAACTCGGATAGATACATTTACAGGATAACCATCCTCAGTCCTGCCGGGACGGTCAAATGTCTGGGAGGATTAGCTCACCGCCTTAAGCCATTTTATAGAACATATACGGATTCGAACATCACTACGGTCCTGAATTGAAGTCGAGTGCGCGGCACATTCATCAATCGAGATTGATTAACATCAAATGACCTTGCGGAACTGTGTTCCAATTTTTCGGAACTGACTCTTTTTTGCCCTTTACCTTCTGCCTAAGTTTCAGCACAGCTAAAAAGCAATCAAGGGCGAATCAAACCTTTTCTGTTGTAGTCCAAAGGTCTACAGCACCAGGGAAGAGCACTGGATCGACGACAAACGGTACCATACTAACTAGTCGAGCTGCAACTTCAATAGTGTGCATCGGACTTGAGCTTGGATGAGGTACTGAAGACGGTGGATTGACAGGACCGAGGAACCTGAACACATCAACTATAGGATGAGGAGTATGAGCCAGTCGAGGAGTTCCAGGTCTTGCTCTATCTAAAATTGGCGAGTCCAACTTGGAAACTTTTTTCTGCCGTCGTCTATAGTGTCAAGAGGAGTTTAGCCACACCCCACAATGGATAGCCACGCCCACACACTTCAAAGCAAAGATACTTTGGTCTATTCCAAAGGTCAGGAACGAAGGAAAAAGGATGACAGACACTTGCTCACGTCGAGACATTAAAGTTCATTTCTACAGATGCGTAAAGAACCTAACGACCCACCTACAGGCCAGTATTGCTTTGCCATTGATATCGGTCACGAGAGCTGTGTAACGACGAGATTCATACATTGCACTACATGCTTTGGCCCATGCATTGCATTGAGAGAGCACCTGAAAAATTCGAATCGATCGGTATTTATCGATTTCGATAAATCGAAATGGTTACCTTTTCACTTTCTACGGATCCAGCTCGTCGTGGAGCTGTTATTCGTGGTGGGACCATTGGAGGATCAAATGCAATGAGCACCTTCACGTAAGACGGTCGGTCAGGCATACTGAAATTTTTCAGATTTCTTTGATACTGGAGTTTCATTTAATTTCTCTAGAGTCTTACAAAGTATCATACTCCAGAATCCCTCAGTTTTAGCTCGCTCTCAAAGTGAGTTCGAACTCATAAAGAAGTAGGTCTGAATATGATTCGACAGTCCGACCATTATTTGGATAAATAAGCAATGAAGAGGGTGCCGGTTGTACGTACATATACAAGATGCCCTTTCACAAAAATTTTAATGAAGCTTCCAAAAAATCCAGGGGAGAAATTTTCACTAAGGCAAGGTGTCTCAGTAAGGAGTGTTAGTATAAGCAGCATAATAAGCAGCATAAAACAAACGCTTTTGTGCACGAAATAAGTGCGTCGGGGTGCGCCATACATCCGACTATCAATCTCAATCGCATCGTGATCTTTAGACAGACAATCAACTCACTTCTCCTGTGGAATTTGAATTCCTGATCTTCGCTCACTCAAAATTCTTGAGTTTCACACACTCAAAAGAGCACAGTACCGCTAATCGCTACTGAAGGGACAGGGAATTTTGTTGATCTCACAAAAGATGGCTTAACGAGGGGATTGGATCGCCTTCCACATTATTTCGACCCTCCCGTAATTCCCTAACCATTCTCGGAACCCCTGATGACACTGAGAAACTTCAGTAGTTTGACCTTAAATATTTTTTCAAAACATACTTGTATCCAGTAAAAAAAGTGGGTCGCTGTATGCGTAACCATCCATCCACTTTTCCTTTCGAGTATACAGTCGAAAACGGAATTTCAACCCAGCCAATAAGACGTCGCACAAGCTGCTCGTGAACGATATTCACCATACGATCGTCCTTATCCAAGCTGTTTACAATCTGGAAATACCGTAATTAAGCTGAATACGTAACTCAGTAAAAAAGTCAATAAATTGATTTTCTCATGATTACCAGGTATCAAACGCTGTCTGCGCCAAGAAGTGCGATACAATATAATTCTCCAAACGGTAGAGTACAGGATGAGAAAGTACGATACAATATAATTCTCCAAACGGTGGAGTACAGGATGAAAAATAGGAGTTCCAAAGAGGTGCGACATGTATGACAATAATTTTATATTCCTCTACGAATCTGTTGCCCCTTCGCCCACCAAGAAGGTATGGGAAATTTTGTTTTAAAAATCTTAGTTTTATTTTAGAGTTTTGTTTGGTTTCCATTAGTTCATTATGGAAAGTTTAGACAGGCATTGCTCCGAGAACCGTCCACAGCTAGTGGGGCCTTGTATACCTTTGAAATGATTATTTTGGTAGGCTGAGTGCGTTAAAAGAAACAAGCCCCGATCCAAACACTAACTGGATTCGAAAAACACTAATAGAACGGAAAAAATCGGCCACCGTCTCTACATTATGTGTGCAAATCGATTGTGGCACATCTCAGAAGAACCAAAGAGCCAGACTTCTACCGTTTTACTCTTCGCAGCCTGAACTAGTCGTCAAGGTACCTCAGACATGACTCACTAGAGGATATCAGCCCCAAACCATGCGAAAAATTGGCTATGCCTTTTCGAAGACTTGGGCTTACTCATTCACCAATTTTTCGTAATCGATGACGCTTGTTTGAATAGGCTCGTCGATCCGCCCACTCTCGAAGAATTCCCGATAAAAAGACCCTGGCAGCTCCACAGGCAGCAACTCGCTCCACACTATCAGCATGTCTTATCAAGTACGTCATGACTTTTTTGCCACCTAGGCGTTTTCGACTCGTTTCATCTATAAATTACAATTTTCAGGGATATCCCGGTGGCGGTTATTCGCCCTATGGACAACAGTATCCTCATCCTCCACCACCACATGTATATCCAGCTCCACCTGTGCATGTAGCACCTCCGGTAGGTCTTAGTGTAGTACCTAGTTCTTCGTTATGGCCTGTCTTCAATGTCGATTTCATTGGAGTGGACGGGCGCGGTCAATAGTGACATACTCAAAAGCCATGTATTCCATACATATTGATTAGCTATCCAAAATCTGTGAATTAATAGTGCCACTAACATTCCGGAGCTACTGAATTTCGGCGAATCCACACGGCTATTACCTGGGTGTTTCCAGGGGAGTTTGTCCTGGCATAGGGCTGGCTGCACTACCCATAAGCTTTTTTTTTCAGTTGAAAACTTTTGAGGGAATTTTCCAAATCATTTTCAATCAGGATCTCTTCAGGTTGTCATCCACGAGGATCACCATCACCACGATCCTCATCATCATCACCACCACGAACATCATCACAGTATGTTCCACCATCATCATGATCACCATGAGCATCATCACGGTCACCATCATCACCANAAAATTTGTATCTAAACACTTGTATGTATTTCTATGTATGGGTAATGAAGATTCAAATCTAATAATTAATTTTTGAGAACATCAATAACTAGTAGTTTGATTTTCCAAATCATTCTATAGCACCGTCGTCTCTCCTGAAGGTTCTTCTTGAAAAAATCTAAAAAAAATGTGAAACAAATCCATCAGTCTGATTACAAGCCATCGGTAGACCTCTACCTTGCGCTTCAATTATTTATAGGCATCTTGCAAAGATAGATGGGATGCTTCGGGCTTTCAATAAAAACAGTTTATAGAAAAAAAGCCGCCTGTTTAAAATCAACCCTAAGGTAAACAGAAGCTGTGTAAACCATATACAGACACGTGTCCTGGAGTTCAGAAATCTTTTCCAACTACAATGGTTCTAAACCCAAGACCTCGAGCTTCTAGGAAGGATTGTAGTGGCCAGAAACGAAATGCTGCCCTTCAAAAACCCGGACCAACCCAAACCTACTAAGCCATCTATAATTTGGGTGCACGGCATGATTATTTCCAACAGAAATTGGTGAAAACTGAGAAAAACTTTAGACTTAATGATTTCTAGTGAAAATCAAGTGCCTGGCGCATCTCAGGGAGCCCGACTGAAGCCGATTAAAAGTCGTTGAATTGAATTAATAAATTCTGTTATGTTTAAAAGTTTTTTAGAGTTTGCTTTTCTTTCAGTCGGCCTTGTTTGTTCTAACCTTTGATCTTTTGGCGGTTTCATTTTTGCTTGAACCGCATGTGATCGTTCTTATCAATCCAGGATGCCTATCAGCCCTAACAATAGGCTGGGACACATGGTTCGATCGGCTTTTCAGAGACATTTCCAAATTATTCTGAGCAGTCCTACATTCGTGCTTTCACTCTCAATTAACGGGAACAGCTGAAGTCTCAAGGATGCAGTCCTACCAATGGTAGGTGCTCCAAACCATGGGAGAGTTTATAGACATACGATAGCAAGTATGAGGGTCTTGATGCCCAACATTACTCCTCCTTCCTCCGGAGAACGTTTCGACCCGAGATGAACGAAATTTTCTCAACAATCCGACCCACAAGCTCATCCCAGACCTCTAAATTTTTATGCGAACATAGAGATCTTACAAACCTAATCTGCACATTGTTCTTCTAGAGAAGGCATGGCGCCGAGGATGGATGTAGGTTATATTCGGTAACTTCATTAATATTGTTACGTTGAACCAGCAGGCATCTGATCACTGGAGTGGATTGGATCAGGTTCTTGCTGGGGAAGGCCTGGTAGACGCCGCTCACTGATAAGGTTGGTAAGAAATGCCCAACACGGATCTTACGATTCGGAAGTGTCGTATCAAGGCTATGAACGTCAACGTCGACACAAGGTAGAGCCCTTCAGAGACCAAAGACTTCCACAAGAGGGCCTCTATTGGCTTAAATTTCTTCAGCTA